GGGGAGGACATTGGAAAGGAGGATGGGGAAAGAAAGCAGGGAAAGGGAGAGAGTGAGAATGAGAATGTGCTAGGCGTGGCCCCTCCCCCCCTGCTTGGCCAACTCATTCTCCAGCAGCTGCAAGAAGCAGGCGCTTAGAAGGAGGAAGTGGGATGACGAAGGGGAGAGGGTGTCTTTGGCAGGGAGATGAGGGGGGGTGGTGGGAGGTGGAGGGGAAGGGGAACAGGGAGAGGGATCGGGGCGGGGAAAGCGAGAGCATGAGAATGAGAGTCACCCTGAAAGAGGCTAAAGAGGTAGTGAGTCGAGAGAAGGTGCTGAAGACTTTTCGAGCAGCGATTGTACGAGCGCACTGCCTTACCACGCCCCTTTGACCAGGTGGTGGGATCCTCTACCTCATAGCGCGGCTCACCTAGGCTCCTGGCAGCAGCAGCGAGGGAAGTGGCGAGCTGAGAGAAGGTGGTGAAGACAGAACGACAATTGCACAATCACCGAGCAGCCACACCCTACCAGGGACTCACCTAGGCTCCTGGCAGCGGCGAGAGAGGCAGCGAGCTGAGAGAAGGTGGGTGAAGACCCTTGATCGCCCTGCAGAAATGAAGGCGTAGCGCGCCCGGGCGGCAAGGAAGAAGTCGACCAATGCCACCCAGCGGGGCAGGGGGCCCCAGTCTCGCACTCGGAAGGATGGGAGCTGCGAGGGAGGGAAGGAGAATGCAGAGAGAGAGAAGAGAGCACAGAAAAAAAAAAAGAGTTGCTGGGAAGTGTGTTGAAAGGCTATTACAACGTTGTTACAATTTTTAGCAGTGTTCTTTCAGAGGTTGCAAATTGACGCATCAGAGGTGATGCCCTTTCCAGGTGACTTTCCGGGTGTCTATGTGTTTTGAGTCTACTCATAGGATGGTGAAAGGATGCTGAAGCTCGGTAGTGCTGATGCCTACTGATTTGTTCTTTGCAGAGGCAAGAGGCTTTCCGGGTGTCTATGTGTATTTAAGTCTACTCATAGGATGGTGAAAGTATGCTGAAGCTCGGTAGTGCTGCTGCTTACTGATTTGTTCTTTGCAGAGGCAAGAGGCTTTCCGGGTGTCGGCGCACGAACTTAGCATGGTCAAAACGAATGATCTGATGGGCGGGGGGGGGAAGGATAAGGGGGAAGAATAGGGATGTAGCGGGATGACGTGGGTAAGGGACGAGGTTTGGTGCGAGGGGGCTCTGGGTGTCGGCGCATGAACTTAGCATGGTCGAAACGAATGATCTGATGGGGGGGGAGTAAAACTGGAGGAACGATAGGGAGGGAAGCGGGATGCAGTGGGTAATGGGAAAGTGGTGCGAGGGGGCTCTCTGGGTGTCGGCGCACAAACTTGGCATTGTCGAAACGAATGATCTGATGGGGGGGGGGGGAGGGGGAGGATAAGGGGGGAGAATAGGGAGGGAGGCAATTGAAGCAGGTAAGGGACCAAGTTTGGTGGGAGGGGGTTTTCCGGGTGTGGGCGCACAACTTGGCATGATCGAAACAAATGATCTAACCGCCGGGGAGTAAAGGGGGGTGGGGGGGGAAAGAGTAGAGAGGGAGAGGGGGGATGAAGTGGGTAAGGGACCAAGTTTGGTGAGAGGGGTAGCCGAAAAAGGACGGGAAACTGGTGAAGGGAATAATGAGGTGAGGCAAGAATGCGGCGAAGGGAAAACGAAGTAAGGGAGGGTGGAGGGTGCGGTGAGGGGAGAATGGTGTGAAGGGAGACAGAGAGGTGCGGGGACGGAATGCGTGGGTGGTTTCATTTTCGGTGGAGAGAGAGCGAGAGAGAGAAGGCCTTAGCATCCAGCCCTCTCCTCTTCCCTCTGCCCTCTCCCTCTGAGCCTATTTAAGGGGCCCTCTGTGCCTTCCCGGCCTCATTATTTCGTGGGTGTTTCATTTTCGGCAGAGAGAGAGCGAGAGAGAGAAGGCCTTAGCATCCAGCCCTCTCCCTCTTCCCTCTGCCCTCTCCCTCTGAGCCTATTTAAGGGGCCCTCTGTGCCTTCCCGGCCTCATTATTTCGTGGGTGTTTCATTTTCGGCGGAGAGAGAGCGAGAGAGAGAAGGCCTTAGCATCCAGCCCTCTCCCTCTTCCCTCTGCCCTCTCCCTCTGAGCCTATTTAAGGGGCCCTCTGTGCCTTCCCGGCCTCATTATTTCGTGGGTGTTTCATTTTCGGCGGCTCGCGCCGGCGGCCTTCGGCCGCGCGTTCCTGGTGGCAAGACACAAAACGTGGGTTCGGCTTATAAAGGGCACACACACACACAAAGGCAAGGAGCTGGGCAAGAGCAAGAGGCGCGGCATGCAATTCTACACGCGGCGGAGGCCTACATCGTGTACGGCTCCGCCCCCTCCACCTCAAGCATCGAGCGCTTGCACGCCGATACTGCAAGAAGGAGATGCGCCGACGACTGGAGCGTGTCCAAGGGGGTCCCGGCTTGAGCAGCCCCTACAAGATCCCCCACGTGGCGGGGGAAAGTACGGGCTAAGGGAGCTACCCCGGCGGGCGCATCCGACACGGGTGCCAACGGCGACTCCAGCGATTCTGCCAAAGTCAAGCAGGATCCTCGGGACCCTGGACCGAAACTGCTCGGAAAGCTCCGCGTGGCCCCACACACCGCCAGCTGCAAGTTCGCCACCACCTCGCACGCCTCCGCCAGATTCAAAATCCGGCACATCGTCAGCATGGGGTCTCTCCCCGCGCGAGTGGGGGGAGGTGCAGTCAGCGCTTCGCGCGGAAACGCCGCCGGCCAGCCTGGAGTCCGGCCAACAGATAAGCGCGGCGCAGGGAAGCCGGGAACCTGACGGGGGGTGCGGAACTGAGCCCTTCCCCCACGCGCGGGCTGATATTCGCGCAGCGTCGGCGCGCGCAGAGGAGCAACCTGGCCGGGGTCCGCGGCGAAGGGGGGACCGTTGGTCACCTCAATGTGGACGTGAGTCGGCGCCCCACTCGCCCGGGCCTGCCTCACCACCTCCACGAACGTGTCCGCAGCGCGATCGAGGGCAGGATCCGGCTGGTTGCCATTCCCGCCTCGCCCTCCGCCTTTCCGCCAGCCCCGCCGTCCCCCGGAACCAGCCGAATGTGGACGCGGGGGGGACTGCTCGCGGCGACCCGAATCCCAGCGACGCCCAGGCGACCCCCTCCCCCGTGTCGCCGGAGATCGCCGCGGAGAGCGTTGCGCGGGGGATCGCGCTCGGGGTGAGCGCTGGCCTGCCTGACCACGAGGGGATGGGCGGCGAGGAGAGCGAGGACGTGCAGGGGAACGCTGACCCCCCTCCCCGCGCTGATAGTGCTCGCGATGCTCAGGAGAAGGGCGGCGAGGAGAGGGCGGCCGAGGAGGCTGACGCGGAGGCGAGCACCCGCGCTCATGCCGCGGCTGACCGTCCGGGCGGTTCGACGCAACACGTGCAGGCGCCCACGAATACTCCGGCGAGGTGAGGCGCGCGGCAGGCCGATGGGGAAGTGTTTGCACCCGCTCGAAGCGGCGAACGGGCTCGCTTGCGGAGGGATGCGCAAGGAGACGCGGACGAGGCCCGGCAGGCGCAGGCTGCGGCAGCGCGCTCTCCGCGGAACCCTCCAGCTCCGGATCCCGTCTCGCGGATGGGTCCATCACCCCCGATCGTACCGCAGCCGACGCCAGCGCGCCGACGAAGCGAAAACGAGACGGTCGCGGCGCCGCAGACAGGGCGCGAGGGAGCTGCTGTTGGAAGAGCAACGCGTGGAATCCGCGTAGGACGCGGCAGCCGCCGCGGACGACGAGGTAACGAGAGAGGACGAAGAGGTGGTGGAACACGAGGTTCAAACAGGCGCCGCACAGGTGCAAGCGGCTACGCGAGAAATGCGGAAAGGCTGATGCGAAACGGCGCGGAGGGCGGCGAGGAACCGCTTAGCGAGGAGGCAGAGGGGGAAGTGGAGAATGAGGAAAGTGACGAGGGTGACCTTGCTTTTAACCCTGAAAGAGAGGGGATGTTGGGGGCAGAAGCTGAGGAGGACGAGGAGGAGTTGGAACTTATGCTTCGAGGAGAGGAGCTCCCCAGCCCAAATGTCCGAGGCGAACCTGCCAACCGAACCACAGCTCAGAACCGAGCCGCGGGGGGAAATCACGCAAGGAGGGGAAATCGAGCCGCGACAGAGACTGGAGTTGACTCTGCGACAGCCAATGAGAATTCAGCAGCCCCAATTCCGACCCCCCAATGCTCAAACCCGACGACCTGGCGAAAAATACTGACCTGTTCGCCCAGGTTGCCGACTGGGACATTGGCCCGCTGCGAGATAGTCGCCAACCCCCAGTCGCCCGCCACCCTCCAAAAGACCTTTGCGAGTCTTTCGCGATTTGCCTGCTGACACCGTTACTCCACCTGGCAGCCAACCCCGAGTCAGAACCTGGCTGGATGTTACTCACCTTCCTCCCTCGCTTACTTCTTCGCTCCTCGTCAGCTCGTAAGCCTGACTGGAGCGCAAATATGAACAGGCTCCTGCGATTTCGCCAAGGGCTCTGGGCCGGCCTCTACGAAATACCCACGAAATAATGAGGCCGGGAAGGCACAGAGGGCCCCTTAAATAGGCTCACAGGGAGAGGGCAGAGGGAAGAGGGAGAGGGCTGGATGCTAAGGCCTTCTCTCTCTCGCTCTCTCTCCGCCAAAAATGAAACTCCCTCTGAGCCTATTTAAGGGGCCCTCTGTGCCTTCACCCAGTGAAGGGACCGACCCAGTGTCCTTCCAGGACGAGAACTGCAACCGCGCACCTGGTTGGGCGGCTAGGGCGGCAGCTGCTCGGAAGGAGGAGAAATATGCGGGACGGAATGCGTGGGTGGGGTTCCACGCCTTGGCCGTGGAGACCTACGGCTACCCGTCGCCGGGGGTACTGGCTTACCTGCGGCAGTGCGCGGAGCTGGCTGCGAAGCTCCGCTACAACGCAGCCCCTACCTCTCGAGAGGCTGCCAAGCTGCTGACGGAGTACCGCCAGCGCTGGAGCGTGTGCCTCCAGAGGGCACAGGCAAATGCCCTCCGCACCAAGACCAACGAGGCCCTGGAGGCGGACGAGCTCAGCCTGCAAGGGCCGTGGGCCCCTCTCAACGAGGGGCAGCTGCACCAGCTGATCGAGCCCCCGTCCGACCACTAGGGTCGGACAGCGGGGGAGGGGAGGGGAGTAGGTGATGGTTGATAGGTCTGCTTGTTTGCCTAGTTTGCATGTGTCTGCTTCAAACCTTTGTACCACCCTTCAGCTAATACACGGGCCATTTGAGAGGTGCGGGGAGAGTGCTACCTCCTTTGCAGCACGGTTCACCCACCTTGGCAAAGTCAGCACGCCTATCATGCGCCTATCTTGCGCCTATCTTGCGCCTATCTTGCGCCTATCATGCGCCTATCTTGCGCCTATCTTGCGCCTATCTTGCGCCCATCTTGCGCCTATCATGCGCCTATCTTGCGCCTATCTTGCGCCTATCTTGCGCCTATCTCGCGCCTATCTTGCGCCTATCCTGCGCCTATCCTGCGCCTATCTTGCGCCTATCTTGCGCCTATCTTGCGCCTATCTTGCGCCTATCTTGCGCCTATCTTGCGCCTATCTTGCGCCTATCTTGCGCCTATCTTGCGCCTATCCTGCGCCTATATTGCGCACCACGCTTGGGTGATCCGCAAATTCGTGTGCCGACTCAAACTAAGGCCTGCCAATATTCTTATCGGTTGGAAAGGCAAGGAGCGGCACAGTAGACCCACCTTTGCAAAGAGCGGCACAGTAGACCCACCTTTGCAAAGTCGGACGTCAGTGCACCTATCTTGCGGAACACGCTTGGATGATCCGCCACCACCACCACCCTCAGCTTGTCCTTATCGCTCGCCGCTTTCTTGCTCCCTGCTGTCTTGTTCTCGCTCCCTCCTTCCTTATTCCCTCCTTTCTCATCCTCATCCCCAGCCGCCTTCTTCTGTCCTTGAGTCCACTTCACCCTCTTCCCCGTCTTTGCCTTCCCCGATTTCGCCTTCCCCGGCTTTCCCTTCTTTGTCTTCCCCGTTTTCGTCTTTCCTACTTTCGTTTTTCCCTTCTTCGTCTTTCCCTTGGTTGTCTTGCCCTTGCCCTTCCCTCCTCCCCCTTTCTGCTTCTGCACCACCACCGCATCAAAAACACTCGCACGACGCGCACTCGCACGCTCCAGATTTTGAGGCGCCTCAAAAGTCGTTGTCTTGCCCTTGCCCTTCCCTCCTCCCCCTTTCTGCTTCTGCAGCACCACCACCGAGTCACGACGCACACTCGCACGCTCCAACTGACCTTCCTCTTCCCCTCCACCCATCCCCTCTCCTCCTCTGCCCTCCTCCTCCCGTCCTCCACCCCTTTCTCTACCCACCTCCTCCCCTTCTCCACCCATCTCTATCTCTCCACCACCCTCTCCTCTACCCTCTGTCTCCAGCAATCGTCTGCCTCCGCCCCACCGAATTCTCCCCTTCCCCCACGCCAGCAACCTACTCCCCATGCTGCCTGCACCAAACCCTGTTGGTCTCATCGCTGCAACTGCTTCACCTCCTCCTGTTCCTGCTGGCCCTGCGAATACTACTCCAGACGCTACAGTAATTACAGATGCCGCTCCACCCGTTGCTGCTGTTGGTGCTGGCAGTGCTGCTTCTGTTGCTGCTACCGTTTGTATTCTTTCAAGTGCGTCTGCTTGCTCCTTCTGCTGCTCGTCCTGCTGCTTCACCCTGTGAATGTGCTCCAGTGCCTTTTTAAGACACAGAGCCGCCGCAGAAGCCACGGATTCCAGCCTGCAGGAAGAGGGGGGAGAGGAATGAAGCTCCCCCATTAAAACCCATAGAAAACGGGCATGCAGCGCTATAGAGCCTGTGGGTGGAAAGGGGAGCAACGAAACGAGTCCCACCCACACATGATTGTTGGCATCCCACGCACGATACGAAGAGTCTGGCCTGCCAGTCCGCACCAACACACCCAACCCATGCCGACACATGCCCCATCACCCATCATCTACCAGCCCACGCCCCACCTCACCGCCGCCATGCCAGCGGCAAACTGAAGTGTTTTGAGGTCGTCTCTCCAGCAAGTGTCAAGAAAGGCTTGGTGTCAAGCGTTGTTTACGGTTGACACCAAGTGGAGCCGCGTGTGAGCGCGGCTCCAGCCTGGTGTCAATGTTGGGCACATTGGACGATTTCCCGCGATCTCATTGGTTGGTTTAGCTGACACCAGGAGGGATAGTCCTCCATGTGTTTTTCGAGTTGGTGTCATGACACTAGCCCCTCTTGACACTTGCTGGGGATACGATCTGAGACGTCTCAAAACACTTCTGTTTACTCGCAGCCCACCTGTTCACTAATATTGAAATCACTTTTGAGAATTCTCAAAAGTGTTTACTCGCAGCCCACCTGTTCACTAATATTGAAATCACTTTTGAGAATTCTTAAAAGTGTTTACTCGCAGCCCACCTGTTCACTAATAACAGCACCCAGCCCACGCCCCAACTCACCGCCGCCATGCCAGCGCCAAACAAACTTCCTCTCCTTTTCCCATTCCACCATCCCTTTCCATTCCACCCATCCCTTTCCCATTCCACCCATATCAACCCACACCAACCCAAGCCAACCCACGCCAACCCAAGCCAAACGTGGCACCAGCACAGCAAGCACATCCAAGCCACTCACCCGCCGTGGGCGGTAATGAATTACCACGTCGGCATCCCTCCACTGCCAGCGCCACCTCACTGCATCCGCGACGGCAACCCCAACCTTGGCACCAACGTAGCAAGCGAATCCAAGCCACTCACCCGCCGCGCAGAAGTGAATGAGCGCATCTGCGTCCCTCCTGCCACTCCCCAGCGCCCACACCAACACACAGCAGCCCACGGCAACCCCAACCTTGGGAACAACATAGCAAGCAAATCCAAGCCACTCACCCGCCGTGCCGAAAGTGAATGACCACATCAGCGTCCTCCCTCCGCTCCCCAGCGCCCATCTCACTGCCTCCGCCACTGCTGGCGTCGGCAGCAGCAGCACGCGCCGCAATCTCCCCAAACAGGTTGGGGCGCGAATTGGGGTCCCACGGCACGCCCATTATGGCCTGTGCTCTCTCCCGCATCGCCGGATGGAGGTTCTTGAGGAAGGTTTGAATGCCCACTGAGTCTAATGCATCATCAAAACTGGAGGAGGAAGGGAGGAAGGGGAGGAAGGGTGAGAGGGAAGGAGGAAACCAAGGGGGAGGAAGGTGAGAGGGAGGGGGGAGGACACGGGAAGGGATAGGGCGTGGGCAGCAGCAGCAGCACCGCGCGCGATCGGAGTGACTTTTGAGAATTCTCAAAAGTCAGCAGCAGCACGCGCGCCATCTCCTCAAACAGGTTGGGGCGCGAAGTTGGGGTCCCACGGCACGCCCATGATGGCGTGTGCTCTCTCCCGCTTGGCGGGATGGAGGTTCTTGAGGAAGGTTTGGATGCCACTGAATCCAATGCATCATCAAAACTGGAGGAGGAAGGGGAGGAAGGGGAGGAAGGTGAGAGGGAGGGGGGAGGAGACAAGAAGGGATAGGGCGTGGGCAGCAGCAGCAGCACCGCGCGCAATCTCCCCGAACAGGTTGGGGCGCGAGTTGGGGTCCCACGGCACGCCCATGATGGCCTGTGCTCTCTCCTGCATCGCCGGATGGAGGTTCTTGAGGAAGGTTTGAATGCCCACTAAGTCCAGTGCATCATCAAAACTGGTGGGAGTGAGGGGAGAACGCGGGGGAAGGAAGGGTGAGCGCATCTCCCCAAAGAGGTTGGGGCGGGAGTTGGGGTCCCAACGGACGCTCATGATGGCCTGTGCTCTCTCCCGCATGGATGGGTGGACGTTCTTCAGGAAGGTTTGAATTCCCACTGAATCCAACGCATCATCGAAACTGGAGAGGGAAGGAGCGAGGGAGGAAAGAACCAAAGGGGGACTGGGATTGCAGCGTGAGTTGGGGTCCCAGGGCACGCCCATGATGGCCTGGGGTCTCTCCCGCATGGCGGGATGGAGGTTCTTGAGGAAGGTTTGGATGCCCACTGAGTCTAATGCATCGTCGAAACTGGAGTGGGGGAGGGGGGAACGCAGGGGAAGGACAGTAGGAGCCCATGATGGCGTGTGCTCTCTCCCGCATGGTGGGATGGAGGTTCTTGAGGAAGGTTTGGATGCCCACTGAGTCTAATGCATCATCAAAACTGGAGTGGGGGAGGGGAGAACTCAAGGGAAGGAAGGGTGAGAGGTTTGAAACAGGCAATCTCCCAAACACGTTGGGGCGAGAGTTGGGGTCCCAAGGCACGCCCATGATGGCCTGTGCTCTCTCCCGCATGGCTGGATGGAGGTTCTTGAGAAATGCCTGAATGGGTACCGAGTCCAATGCATCGTCCAGACTGGAGGGGGGAGATATGGAGCAGGAAGGAAGGTGCGAGGGAGGGCATGAGAGGGAGGGTGAGAGGGAGGGTGAGAGGGAGGGTGAGAGGGAGGGTGAGAGGGAGGGTGAGAGATCACAGGGAGGGAGGGAGGTGGGGAGGGACGGAGGGCCAAACTCGAGGGGAGCGTGCAAGGGAGGTGGGGGAAGAAGAGGGAGGGCGGTGAGGGGAAGAAGAGGGAGGGCGGTGAGGGAAGAAGAGGGAGGGCGGTGAGGGGAAGAAGAGGGAGGGCGGTGAGGGGAAGAAGAGGGAGGGCGGTGAGGGGAAGAAGAGGGAGGGCGGTGAGGGAAGGGAGAAGAAGAGGGGAAAGGATGGAATGAAACGCATGATTTCCCAAGAAATAGAAAATCACCAGATTCTAGTGCGGTACTTAATCATGCTCTTTTTTTTCATGGAATGAAACGCATGCTTTCCCCGTACGTTTCTTCCCTGTGAACCAATCGAATGCAACAATTTCATTCCACTGGTTGCTCTCACTCACTGGTGTGGCTCGCGAGATAATGGGCTCCATCCACGTGTGATGAGCTCGACTAGAAAATCGACTAGAGAATCGACTCATCACACATGGGCTCCTTCCACGTGGACCAATCATCACACAGCGGTGCGTGATCTTGCCCGGTTGGCAACTAGAAGCAGCCTGTAGCACCGCTCAAAGAGATGCTCTCTAGCAACGATGATGGTGCTTTTGAGAAGAGATGCTCAAAAGTGCTGCTCAAAAGTGCTGCTCAAAAGTGCTGCTCAAAAGTGCTGCTCAAAGTGCTGCTCAAAAGTGCTGCTCAAAGAGATGCTCTCTAGCATGCACGCACCAGATGATGGGTTCCCTCCACGTGGACCAATCATCACACATCGTGCGTGATCTCGCCCGGTTGGCAAAAGAGTCCGTCCTGACCACCAGAGGCCGCCTGTAGCGCCGCTCGCAGTCATGCTGATACCAGAGGTGCCTCAACTCGAGCATGGAGAATACTTCTGGGGAGAAGGCGAGATAGTCCCTTCCACAGCCTCTGACCCACCGTCTTGTTGCTCTCCATCAGTGGCCGCGTGCCACTGGGGGTGGAGGAATGATTGGAGGAGGTTGGGACGAGAGGGGAGAGGCAGAGATGGGTGGTGAGTGGTGTCGACCGGTGGTCAGCAGCGGCCAGCAGCAGTTGCCCGTTGTGGTGGTGCCAGAGGTGCCTCAACTCGAGCATGGAGAATACTTCTGGGGAGAAGGCGAGATAGTCCTTTCATAGCCGCTGCCCCACCGTCTTGTTGCTCTCTATCAGTGGCCGCGTGCCACTGGGGGGGTAAGGAAAAGGAGGACGGTGGGAAGCACAGGGGAAAAACGCGGGCTGGACAAGTGAGCCCACCACACCCCACCACACCCCACCACACCCCACCACGCCTCGCAATCATGACTCACACTTTCTCTCCCACATTGATGGAACAGTTGAGCATGAGAGCCAGAGCTGGAGCCGTGAGGATCTTGTAGAGATTGTTCCCCCACCGCACCCCACTGCACCTCACCACATCCCACCCTACAACACCCCACCAACTCACCAGTTGTCGGTGAAAATAACAGAGCGGGTGAGCATGAGAGCAAGAGCCGGGGCTGTGAGGACCTCAGAGAGGTTGTTCCCCAGCCCACCACACATAACCACTGCCCACCCCACCAGACCCCGCCACACTTCACCGCAGCCCACACCACCGCACCTTACCACATCACTCACTAGTTCTCGCCCATGATGATAGAGTGGTTGAGCATGAGAGGAAGAGCCGGGGCTGTGAAGATCTTGTAGACATTATTTCCCAGCCCACCACACTTCACCACTGCACACCCCACCAGACCCTGCCGCACTTCACCGCAGTCCACCCCACCACACCCGACCACAGCCCACCACGCCCCACCACATCTAACCCAGATCACTCACTAGTTCTCGCCCACGATAATAGAGTGGTTGAGCATGAGAGCAAGAGCCAGGCCTGTGAGGATCTTGTAGAGGGTGTTCCCCACCTCACCGCGATTCACCACCGCCCACCCCACCAGACCCCACCGTACCTCACCGCAGCCCACCCTGCAACACCCCACCAACTCACTAGTTCTCGCCCACGATAATGGAGCGGTTGAGCATGAGAGCAAGAGCCGGAGCCGTGAGGATCTTATACAGGTTGTTGCCTAAGCCCTCGTGCTTGCCATAGCCCAACACAAAGCTCCTCTGACAAACTCGTGAGCCGGCAGCGCACGCAGGGCAGAGGCGCCTGGTAGGGAGGAGGGGGGAGAGAGGAGGGAAGAGAGAGAGGGGAGGAAACAGGAGCGAAGAGAAAGAAGGGAAGAGACAGGAGGGAGGAGAGACAAGGGGAAACGCGAGTGGGTGGTGCAGTGAGGATCTTGTACAGGTTGATCCCTACCCTAGCCCCTCGTGCTTGCCATATCCCAACACAAAGCTCCTCTGACAAAACTCGTGAGCCGGCAGCGCACGCAGGGCAGAGGCACCTGCAGGGACAGGGAGTCGGGAGGGGGGGAAGAGACAGGAGGGAAGTCAGCGGGGGGAAGGCACAGGAAGGAAGAGAGAGGAGAGAAGACAGAGGGAAGGAGAAGAGAGGGAAGACAGAGAGAGGGAGGGCCTGTGAGGATTTTGTAAATGTCGTACCCCAGATTCTCCTGCTTGCGCTATGTGGATTTTACTTTCGGGAATTCTCAAAAGAAAAATGCACATATAAAAGTGGAATTTTGAGTCGACTCAAAATTCGATTTTGTGGAGGTCGTACCCCAGCTTCTCGTGCCCCAACACAGGAGCTTTTGAGAATTCTCAAAAACACCCTGCAGCACCTCGATTTTGTAGAGGTCGTACCCCAGCTTCTCGTGAAAACACAGGAGCTCCTCGTGCTTGCGCACAGGATGATGGGGTGAGCTGAGCTCGGCCCAGCTCATATCCCAACACAAAACCCCGCTGCGCACAGGATGATGGGGTGAGCTGAGCTCGGCCCAGCTCATATCCCAACACAAAACCCTGCTGCGCACAGGATGATGGGGTGAGCTGAGCTCGGCCCAGCTCATATCCCAAAACAAAACCCCGCTGCGCACAGGATGATGGGGTGAGCTGAGCTCGGCCCAGCTCATATCCCAACACAAAACCCCGCTGCGCACAGGATGATGGGGTGAGCTGAGCTCGGCCCAGCTCATATCCCAACACAAAACCCCGCTGCGCACAGGATGATGGGGTGAGCTGAGCTCGGCCCAGCTCATATCCCAAAACAAAACCCCGCTGCGCACAGGATGATGGGGTGAGCTGAGCTCGGCCCAGCTCATATCCCAACACAAAACCCCGCTGCGCACAGGATGATGGGGTGAGCTGAGCTCGGCCCAGCTCATATCCCAACACAAAACCCCGCTGCGCACAGGATGATGGGGTGAGCTGAGCTCGGCCCAGCTCATATCCCAACACAAAACCCCGCTGCGCACAGGATGATGGGGTGAGCTGAGCTCGGCCCAGCTCATATCCCAACACAAAACCCCGCTGCGCACAGGATGATGGGGTGAGAGAAAAAAACAGGGAGGAGATGAGGGCAGGGGGCAAGGGAGAGGGAGTTGGGGGTGAAACCAGGGATAGTGGATAAGGAAGTTAACAGACCTACAAAGAGATGTGTGCAGAGGAGAGGAGGAGCACGCCACGCCAGCACATGGCAGGACGAGAAGCATCATCACCCACCGTGCACCACCAGGTGTCGCTCAATCATTCGCCGCAGCTTCAGACTAGCCACATCGGTGCTGCCAGCTGTTGCCTCGCCCATCTCTGCCACGTTGGCACACGCCTTGTCGGGCCTCCACCTCGGCTCCGGCGGGTCAAAGGGCGGCTCAGAGGCATCTTCTCTTCCTCCTCCTCCTCCTCCTCCTCCTCCTCCTCCTCCTCCTCCTCCTCCTCCTCCTCCTCCTCCTCGTCCTCCTCCTCCTCCTCCTCCTCCTCCTCCTCCTCCTCCTCCTCCTCCTCCTACTCCTCCTCCTCCTCCTCCTCCTCCTCCTGCTGCTGCATGTCGCATCCTCCACAGAGCCTTCAGCCGCTCTTTCTTCTCCTTGTCTCGGTCTGCCTTCTTTTTCTTCTTTGCCTTCCCACTCGCCGGCTTTACCTTGGGCTTGCTTCGCACCTTGTCTGCACCCTCTCCCTGCAGCCCAACAAGCTTGCCAAAATCGCCCATACTGCGGCTGCCACCATGTCCCGCCCCGAACACGGCTTCCTCCAAATCATCGTCTAGTTGCTCCTCCTCGGCTTCCCCCGCCTCCTTGTCTGCACCCACTCCCTTCAAGTCAATGAGACTGCCCAGGTCGCCCATACTGCGGCTGCCACTGCGGCTGCCACCCCGTCCCGCCCCAAACCCCGCTTCTTCCAAATCGTCTTCTAGTTCCTCCTCCTCTGCTCCCCCCGCCTCCTCCCCTGTTTTCTGTATCTCAAACTTCGCTTCTTCCTCTGCTTCCCCCTCTGCCTCCCCTTTTGCCTCCTTAACACTCTGCGCGCCCACATTGCTGCTCTTTCTCGCCCCCACTCCCCCTTCTTCCGACTCTCCCTCATGACCCCTCCCAGTGTTCCTCCTGCTATACCCCCCACCGCCCCCCTCGCTTCCCTCCTCCCCTTCTTCCTCCGCACCCTCCTCCTCCTCCTCCTCCTCCTCCTCCTCCTCCTCCTCCTCCTCCTCCTCCTCCTCCTCCTCCTCCTCCTCCTCCCTCCTCCTCCTCCCCATCCTCCTCTTCTCCCTCTTCCCCAATATCATAATCATCGAGCCCCCCTTTCCCTTCCCCTTCGCCTTCTCTTTCCCTTTTCCCTGATCCCCCTTCCACAAGTTCCTTCTCATATTCCCCCTTCTCCTCTTCCCCCTTCACCTCTTCCCCAAGATCATGATCATCCAGTCCCCCTTTCCCTTCCCCTGCTCGCTCCCGTTCATCATCACCTAAAGCCCCCTCCGTGAGCTCTTTCCCATCATCCTCCTTCCCTTCTTTCCCCCTCGCCCTCCTCGTCCTCTTTGCCTCGTCTTTCATAGTAATCCTCTCCCTCGTACCCGCCCTCCCCACCCTCACCCTCCTCCTCTGCACTCTCTTCCTTCTCTTCTCCATCCTCTCCCTCCTCCTCCCCGCCCTCTCCCTCCTCCTCCCCGCCCTCTCCCTCCTCCTCCCCGCCCTCTCCCTCCTCCTCCCCACCCCTCTCCATCCTCCTCCTCCCCATCCCTCCTCTCTCGCTCACCACTCTCCCCGCCTTCCACATCCCCCCCGGCCTTCACTCTACCCAGGCCTTCCCCTACTCTTCTAACTCTCACCTCTCCCCTTACTCCCTGAATTCTTGTTTCTTCCCCTTCCTCCGCTTCCCCTTCCCCCTCCCCATCCCCTTCAACTTTCATGCCCCCTTCCCTTTCCCCTTCCCCTTCCCCTTCTCCCCCTTCCCTTTCTCCGCCTCCCCCTCCTCCACTTCGTCGCTCTCCTCGTCCCCCTTCCCCCCAACTGAACCCCCGCATCCGCAACCTCCCCTTCCGCTTCCGCCTTCCCCTGAGCGCCACTGTCAAATCTCCCCCGGTCACTTACCCCTGCCGTCTCAACCTCCCCTTCCCCCTCATTTCCCCCCTTCCCCTCGAATCCTCCTTTCCGCACAGCACTCCCCCTTTTGCCAAGCCTAGGCCACAGCTCTCCCGCATCCCGCCAAGATATCTCCTGCCCCGGCCACCCACCCTCCAGCATAGCGCCAACCATTGCGAGCTGCTCCTCCCGCCCATCCTCCCGCCCATCCTCCTCCCGCCCATCCCCCTCCCAGTCCCCGTGCTCCCTTCTGTCCTCACTCCCATTTACTCCCCCACGCTCCTCCGCTTGCTCTCCCCCACTGCCGTCAATCGCATTCACCCGCTCTTCCAGAGAACTGCTACCACTCCCCTCCTCGTCCTCCTCTTTCCGCTCCTCCTCCTGTTTCCCCACGCGCCCCTCTTTCCCGCCATCCGCTTGTGTCCCCCTCCGCCTTATTAATCCGGCCAGGAATCGGAACGGAACTATCCCCTCCAACTTCTCCCTCCACGTGCCTGCCTTCGGTCCTTCCTCTCCCGGATTTTCCGGGCCTTTCGTCCTCGGAATTCGCAGCTAGCCATCTCTTTCTTATCTCAGCCGTTGGTTCTGTAAGCCGATCCCCGCCGTAGCTGATGTGAACCTCGTTTTGCGCGCTTTCCGGCGCAGATTCTGTATCGGTCTCTTTATTCTTATCCTCAGACCCTGGTTGGATTTCGCCCGTCTACAGTCAGGTGTGAAAGCTTCGCGATAGAGTTACCCGGTTCGTGGAGTTTCGTATGCCCGAGCAGATGAAAAAGGAAGGCTGCGAAGAAAATCGCAGACCATGTGACTATATTGAGATTGTTACCACACAGACTCGAAATCCACCCTCGATGCTGATGTCTCGTCTTGCTGTGCGAACTCGGGTGAACGTGCGAAATCGTGTGCGAACGAGTCTGGGGAGGAATTTGCGACAGACTGTGCGACGTGAGCGCCTGGGGGTGAGCGAAGGTGAGTGCATGGGAGGGATTGTGACTGTAAGCGAGTGGGACGCTCTTGCCGGATCTTCGCCGGGTCCTTCACCACCACGGCGGGGACCCATGTGATTATATCGAGCGACGCACTTGATTCGAGGACGATAACGTGGCCCGGAGGAATAATAAATAATGTCGCATTAAGTTGTCAGTCAAAATAAATAACACGCTAACGTACAGCTCGTAAGACGGATGCCGGCCAGCTGGCAGGATGTGGTGATCCTAGACAGCTGCGAGGCGATCAGTTCCATTGATTTCCAAAGATGCTGCTTACGGAATCACGTTTCAGCAGTAATGCCGGAAAGGAAGGCAAGCTAGGAGATTTGCCTCATGCTGCCGACCTTGGTATTCTGGAATCGCCATTGCCAGTAGGGACTGACTGGGAAGGCTCACTCGCCATGTAATCGACGGCACATAGCACTGGCAACGACCAGCATTTTCCAGGTTTGAGTCTGGTTCGGGCTGCCTGCTGGTTTGGACTCAGGGATAATCCTGAAGGTTTGTCTGGCCTGGGCACGTCCTTCGGCTCGGCACAAACTCTCTTCGTTCGGTTCGGCTGAGCCATTGAAGGGAAGAATTTGACTGGTGATTTGGCCCTGACGGGGATTTGGCTTGGTCCAGGTAAGTCCAGTTTGGCGGGTCGAAGCCGAATTCGTCGGCATGGATCTCGGTATGGTAACATTCGCCCAGACATGGGATGGGATGGTGTGATTCAAGGAGCATTACGTGACGCTGTCACCACCACTCACGACAGTCGCACGCTTGTTTGGCGAAAAGTGCGGGAGGTGAACCCAGTACGACGCGGTTCGCAACTGGGGAATATGTACCGCTCGAGTTTTGGGGGAAAAGCGGATGGTAACTAACAAAGACATCCTTAACAGCCGGGGAGTTGGCTCGACCGTCTGAGGTCATGGTGCAGTCGCTACGAGAGAAGCACCCGGCTAGCGCAGGCGACGGCACCACAGTGGGCCCGCGATTTCACCATCTATACCGCTCAGCGGCCTTCACTCACGACCGACATCCTGGCCAGAGCTATCCATACAGTCGCCCGAGCCTCAGCACCAGGGCCATCGGGGTGGATCACAGAGCATCTGCGCGACACCTTCCTCACTGAACCTACCTGCCTCTCCCAACTGTTGGAAGTGTTCAACCAATGGGTGGCGGGACAGGTCCCGAGCGGGCTCGGCCGTGGCTCGCCGCATCCAACCTAGTCGAACTTTCCAAGCCTAACGGCGACGTCCGGCCGGTGGCGATCGGGGAGGTGCTTCCTCGTATCCTTGCTCGAGCTCTCTGCATCTCGCTCCGCCCTGCGATGGTTTCCTACTTCCTGCCGTGCAACCAGCTGGGAGCGGGCACCAGGTTCGGGGCGGAGATTCTCACTCATTCTTTCCGGTCAGCGCTGGCCACTCACCCCGACTGGTGTGCGCTACAGATAGACGTCGCAAACGCCTTCAATTCGTTTCACCGTCATGTGATGTTCGATGGGCTGCGGGAGTCGCCTTTCTCAGGGATGATCCCATTCTTGCGTGTCTTTTATGGGACACCTAGCGACCTGTACCTCCGAGCGGGCCCTTTCGTACAGAGCCTCGAGTCAGCATGGGGATCGAGGCAGGGGGACCCGCTCGGCCCTTTTCTTTTCGCGTTCACACAGCAGCAGGTGATGGAGCCGGTTACTAGGGAGTTCAAGGACCTGCTTTTCCTCAGCTATGTAGACGATACCTATATTTTGGGGCCAGCGGCTAGGATTCTGGAGGCTTTTGGGGTGCTGCGGGAGCGGTTGGAGTGGGTAGGGCTGGAGGTGCAGGCGCACAAGTGCCGGTTTTGGGAGCGCGAGGGCAAGGAGGTGGAGCGGGCACTGCCATTGGGGATGCAGCGGGTGGATGAGGGTCTTACTATGGTGGGCGTGCCTATTGGAGAGGAGGTTTGGGAGGTGGTCCGACTACGGGAGCGGCTTCGACAGTTGCAGGCGCCACTGCCATGGCTCCCCTTGCTCGACCACCCCCAGATGGCTTCACACCTCCTCGCCATTGCAATTTCAGCGCGGCCGATGTACCTCGCCCGGACTATGCCGCCGCGTCCGGAGGTGGTTGAGGCTTTTAGGGATTGGGACAGCTGTTTAGAGGATTGCTTTGAGCAGCTTTTCCCACCTGGCACTTGGGAGCAGGACCCCGACCGGTCTAGGCGCGCACGCATGCAGCTGCATCTCCCTGTGCCTCTCGGTGGGTTCGGGATCCGGGCGGCGGCCTCTTTGAGCCCACTGTCCTATGTTTGCGGGTGGGCGCAGGCCGCGCGGGACATTGCACAGTTAGGGGTGGCGGGTGAGGAGGCGATGTTTGCTGAGTACCTCACCACTTCGACAGGGGCAGAGTTTCTTGACCCGTGGTTTGTCAAGGCTCTCGAGCAGCTGCCAGCGACTATCCGCCACGAGATACCGGGCTTACCTTTGTGTGTAGCGGCCCCTCCTGTTCGGCTTTTCCAGGCGCGTCAGCGGCAGTTAGCTGTAGAGGAGCTCCAGGCACTGCGCCGCTTGGCTCGTGACGATGCTACCTTGGCCCGTTTCACATCCCTTCAGAGCCCGGGGGCAGGTGCATGGGTTTCGGCGGTTCAGGCTCACTCAGATCTCACATTCACTGCGGCTGAGTGGGGCATTGCTGCTGCTATACGGCTCGGCCTCCCAATTCAGCAGCTGCAGGTGGCGGGGAGGTGTGTTTGTGGCACAGCGTATGTTGACCCAGCAGACCCGCATCATGCCCTGAGATGCAGGCACCAGCATGGTCCTTCTCGGGTGCATGATGAGGTGAAGTTTGCGGTGGCGAATATCTCAATATATAGAATTATATATTATTCTGACACGCCCCCATAAGTGCCTGTAGGGAAGAATGTGCAGTCAACGCCCCCATAATGGGGTACACGAGGCAGAGTGCGCAGCAGAACGGGAGAGGGCAGGCAAGGAGGAGGAGAGAGAGAGGGAGAGAGAGGAGAGGAGGTGGTAGGTTCTGGTTGGTCACCCCCTACATCCCCTCACCCTCCCCCTCCCCCTCCCCCCCACACTGCTGCAGGAGCAGCAGAGGGGGGCAAACGGAGGAGGATGGGAAGGGGAGACCACACATCACCCATCACCCCCACACCCGCCACCCCCAGTCCCTCCCCGGGCTCCCCCACACCCTCACACCCTCCCCCCCAGCGGCAGCTGCAGCAGAGGGAACAAAAGGAGGAGGAGAAGGGGGGGGGGGGGGCGACGCACGGCCTCCCCGGGCGCCAAAGCAGGCGGCAGAGGGGGCGACGCCTGCCCCCCCCCTTTCAGGTCGCGCGGCCCCCTCAGGTCGCCTCGACAGGTGACGGGAAGAAGGGGGGGGGGGGCGGTGCACGTGCCCCCGGTGTGCCGCAGCTGGTGACGAGGCATGGCCGGGGCGGGGTCGGGACCGCAAGTGGGCGGGGCCGAAGTGGGCGACGGGGCCGCAAGGGTGGGCGGGGCCGCAGGGTGGCGACGGGGCCTCAGGTGGCGGGGCCGCAGGTGACATCGGGGCCTCAGGTGGCGGTGGCCGCAGGTATAGGAGACGGGGCCGGGGCCGCAAGGTAGTCGACAGGGCCGCAACGGAGGGCGGAGGAGCCGCAAATGTGGGCGGCGAGGCCGCAGGTGAGGGCGGCGACGGGGCCGCAGCTGAGGGCGGCGACGGGCCGCAGGTGAGAGCGGCGACGGGGCCGCAGCTAGGCGACGGGGCCGTAGGGCCGCAGGTAGGCGACGAGGCCGTAGGGCCGTAGGTAGGCGACGGGGCCGTAGGGCCAGGGGCACGTCACGGGGCGTGCCGAACACAGATTAGCAGCGGAAGCTTTAGGGTAGGCACACAGGTGAGGACCTTGGTCACTCTGATAACATGTTGAGGTACTAGGAAGGCTTAGGAGCCATAGCTAGTAGGTCGAGTAGTTGAGTTCGAGTGAGTTTGGGTGAGTCGAGAAGATTGCAACAAAAGAGTGGCTTCACTATAGAGCGAGCAGTACAAATAGGCAAGAATGAAGAAAGGTGCACCACCAAACAGAAAGTTAGATGACTACAGTAGTCTACACTACAGGCAGTTACAAAACAATATATAGAATTATATATTATTCTGACATAAGGCGTCGGGGGGGGGTGGTGACATTGGAGGATAGTGTGGTGCTGCAAGGGAAGCGGGTTGATGTGGCGGTGCGACGTCCAATGGCTGGAGAGGCTCACGCCCTAGAGATCAGCGTCGCGGACCCGCTATCGCTGTCTCCATCACTGCTGGGACAGTGCGGGCGTCAAATAGGTGTGGCGGCAAGGGAATGAGAGCGTCGCAAAACGAGTGATTACGCGCCTCTGCTTGCACGCAACCGGGGCGTGCAGTTCACCCCTTTGATAGTTGAGACGTGGGGGTGTCTCGGCGGTCGTTTTCAGCGGTGGCTTCGTCAGCAGGGGGATGCGCACGTGGGGCTAGCTGTGTCGCGGGGGGCTTGTCGAGAGGACGACTCTGTGTTTTCGGCTTATCTTTTAGGGTCACTGAAGGCGCTCATCGAGGTGGCGTTACAACGTGCGCAAGCCCGTGTCATCCTGCTTCGAGCGGCGTCTTCCATGGGGGGGATTAACGTAGATTTGGCGGATCGGGAGAGGGACGATGTCGATGTGGAAGGTGGGGCTCTCTGGTTGGAGGCCCCGTACATGGTCGATACGTTGATGTGATTGAAGGGGGGGGGGGGGGGGGGATGGGGCGTGGGATGGGATGTCTTGATGGGGTGTCTTGACTGGGCGTTTTGATTGGGTAACTTGAGGGGGGGTTTTATGTGTGTTGCATTTGGGTTCTTTTTGGGAGTTTCATTTTCCTTCTCCCTTTCTTTCTCCATTCCCTTTCTTTTTTATCAGGGTTTTACAAAGGTGCAGGACTGATGATAAGGGTTGCTTAAAACCAAAAATTAGTATATATTAGCTGTTAAGAGTGGAGGGCTGTGTCGTGTGTAATCTCTGATCGGGAAGCTGATAATAACCAACTGACAAAAAAAAAAAAACAAGAGGCGACGAAATTGTCTTAGGGCTGCGAAGCAAAAATTGTAACATGCGTTTGAAGTTTGAACGACCTTAATCTTGTCGTTATATTTGGATAAAAAAAATACGTGTTTTTTAATCTTTTGATACGAAACTCGGTTTCGTATGTTATTTTTTTTTTCCTTTTTTGTTGAACCTTGAACCAAATTGATGATGATGGTTTGTATGTTGAGATAGAGGCGAGGAATGAGTGCACTATGAAATGAAACAAGTACAAGTACCAACCCTAATTGGGTTGTACCCCCTATGGGCTACCCCACTACAACCTAAATATATGCATCAGTAATATAATCATCTGACACACCCCCATAGGCAAAGTGGGGGAGAGCAAGGGGTCACAAGACCAGTCAAGCAAAGCAAAGCAAAGCAAAGCAAGCTCAGGGTGGATCTCAAGGATACCACACAAATTCCGAGCACAAGGTCAAGGCCACAAGGCCAGTTCACATGCAGCAGAGCATATATATATAACAGTGCTAAACAAGCAAGAGCAAGGATATATATATGCAGCAGTACAAGCAAGGTCAAGAGGTAAGCAAGTGAGGCCCAGTGGGCACAAGGCCTAGCAGAGTGCAAAAGCGCTGATGGTCACGAGGCGGAAGTGCCTTGGTGAACACATCAGCAGTGTTGGCCTCAGTGGCCACGAAACGCAGGTGAAGCTGACCACGCTGCTGCAGCTCTCGAGCAAGGAAGTAGCGCAGAGCAATGTGCTTCGTCCTGTGCTCCAGTCTGTGCTCCTCACACAAGGCAATGGTTGCCTTGTTGTCGACGTACAGCACTGGAGGAGAACGAGGCCGCTCTCCAAGGTCAGTCAGTAAGTAGGTGAGCCAGCGAAGCTCCTGGGCAGCCATGGCCGTGGCGTAGATCTCAGTCTCACAGCTGGAGCTGAGAACCGAAGAAGAGCGAGTAGAGCGCCAAGAGAAAGAGCCAGAGCCAAGACTGAAGGTGTAACCCTGAGACGACCTCTGAGTAGCCTGGTCGTCAGCCCAAGAAGCGTCTGAGTGCCCAGTGAGCACAGGCCGCTCACGCCCTCCAAGCACTAGCCCCATGCCCGACGTACTGCACAAGTAGCGCAACACCCTCTTAGCTGCATCCATGTGCTCCTTCCGGTGACGGCCGGGAGCAACATAGCGTGCTAAGATGCTGAGAGGGTATGCGAGGTCAGGTCGAGTGCAGGTCATCAGGTACATGAGGCAGCCCACAAGCTCTGGATACGGACCACTCGACTCTACGGACTCATCCGAAGGCAGAGCTGAGAGCGAGTGTCCCGTAGGCAGAGGAGTGGACTGAGGCGAGGAGTACGTGAAGCCGAAGCGCTGAAGGACCTGCTGCACCATGTGTGACTGAGTCAGGGTAATGGTGCGGCGTGCTCTGTCCCGGGTGATCCGCAAGCCAAGATAGCTTGTCAGTTCACCCAGGTCTGTGCACGTGTGTCTCTTCTGCAGCTCCGACTTCACGTGGGCGAGTGCGGCAGTGTCCGCAGTGGCAAAGACCAAGTCGTCAACGTACACGAGGATGTAGAACGGCGGCAGCGAGGTGTCGGTGCGCAGAAACAGCGACGGGTCAGCAGTAGAAGGAGCAAACCCAAGAGCCGCAAGTGTAGTCCTCAGTGTGTCGTGCCACTCACGCGGCGCCTGGCGGAGAGCGTAGACTGGCCGCCGGAGGCTCCACTGGGTACCAGGAGGGAACGACCCAGTGAAGCCAGGAGGGCGGCGCAGCCAGATCTCCTCGTGCAGGCGGCCCTGCAGGAAAGCAGTGCTGAAGTCAAGAGAGTGTAGCTCGTAGTCACGCTGAGCAGCGACGTGCAGTAGAACCCGAAGAGTGGTCATCTTCGGGGTCGGGGAGAAGGTCTGAAAGAAGTCAACTCCCTGTCGCTGACTGAAGCCACGAGCCACGTAACGCGCCTTGAAGACAGGCGGAGAACCCGGCGGCCGCTTCACCCTGAAGATCCACATGCCACTGACGATTTTCGCCCCAGGAGGGGGGACAGCGTCAACGTAGGTGCCTGTGGACTTCCAGGAAGCCATCTCTGCGTCCATAGCTGACTGCCACTGAGAGGAGTAGGGACCGGCCATCGCCTCTGCGTAAGAGCGTGGGGTCGGGATGTCTAGAGCATCCGGGTCTCCCTCAGGGGCAACAAGCATGGACACGAGATGGGGCAAAGCGGCGGCAAAGCACTGGAACTCCTCCTGCCTGTCCTCAAGGACGTCCGTGCCAAGAGCACAGTCACCCCCGACGGACGTAGGACAGGCAGACGCAGACGCAGCAGACGCAGACTCAGCAGACTCAGCAACAAGACTGGCAGCGTAGTCCAGATGACACGCAGCAGCAAAGTCGACCAGCTCAGCAACTAGGGCAGACGCAGCAGCGGACTCAAAGGAAGGGTCAGTGACAAGAGAAGCAAGAAGACGCGTGACAGTAGGACTGGCAGCACGGCGAGAGTCCGACTCCGGGTCGGCAAGTGTAGGAAGAGAAGACTGAGGAGGAGAAGGCAAAGGGGCACGCAGAGGAGCAGTGGACGGACGCAGAGACATCTGGTGTGTGCCAGGGACAGGAGGAGGACGCTGACGCGAACCGCGACCACTAGAGCGAGCAGCTCGGACTGGCGACGCAGGGCGGGACGCAGGCTCACGACGCTTAGCAAGACCTCCAGTAGGACCAGCGTAGGGAGAAGGAGAAGGCAGGGGAGAGGTGGGCTGTAACTGTGACTGTGACGGGACAGGCTGCGGACACTCTACGGGAGGAGAAGGACCAGTGGAAGGCGGGAGACCAAGAACCTGCTGAAGGAGCGGAACGAAGTACGGCCGAGGCCGCGCAGCACCGCCAGAGACAGCAGGGACAGCACCAACACCTCCAGAGGCAGCACCAGCACCAGTAGCAGCTCCAACTCCAGCACCACCAGCAGCTGCAGAAGTACCCGCAGTAGGACCGACAGTCGTAGCCTCAGCGCCAGCACCCGCAGCAGCTCCAGCTCCAGAGGCACCCCCGGGCCCGGCAGCTCCAGTACCCTCAGTACGAGCACCTCCGGGACCCGTGGTACCAGCTCCCTCGGCAGCAGCGGAACCTCCAGCACCCGCAGTACCCCCGGCTCCAGCAGCTCGCCTCCAGCGCCGGGCAAACCACTCACGCAGCTCAAGAGGAGAGAGCGGCTCGCGGCGCGAAGAACGGTCTGGAGAACCACCAGGAACAGAAGCAGCAGGCGCAGCACTCCCAGACGCAGAACCCCCAGGCTCAGCACCCCCAGGCACAGCACCCCCAGGCTCAGCACCCCCACGCTCAGCACCCCCAGTCTCAGCACCCCCAGGCTCAGTACCCCCAGGCTCAGCACCCCCAGGCTCAGCACCCCCAGTCTCAGCACCCCCAGGCTCAGCACCCCCAGTCTCAGCACCCCCAGTCTCAGCACCCTGAGGCTCCGCACCCGCAGCAGCACCAGAGTCACCAGTGACCTCGACAGGCTCGACCGCGTCTACCTGAGACACACCTGAAGGGGCAGGACCCTGAGGGGGGAGGGGGTCTACCGGGGGGGGACCTGGGACCAGGAAGAGGGGCGGGGGGGGGGAGGGACGGAGTGCGGTAGGGGAAGAGCCGGTAGAAGGGAACCGACTCGTCGAACGTGACGTCCTGGGAGGACAGAACACGACGAGAGGTGGGGTGGTAAAACTGCCACCCAGGTGCGTCAGGGGGGAAACCCAGGAAGACGCAAGGAGCAGCACGAGGGGACAGCTTGTCCGCAGACAAGTCGCGGACAAACGCCCGAGATCCCCAGACACGGAACGCCGACGCATCGCCAACCTTCCCCGTCCACAGCAAAGCTGGGGAGGTCTCCGGTCTGGAGACCCTGGGCTGAAGGTTGATCTAATGTGCGGCGTACCGAACCGCAAACGGCCACAGAAAATTGGGGGCAGCCGCATGCACCATGGACGTACGGGCGACGTCCATGACAATGCCGATGCGGCGCTCAGCAATCCCATTCTGCTGTGGAGAGTCCGGAAGCGTGAAGGTCTGGCGGATGCCTCGTGCCCGACAGTAGGCTCGCAGAAGGCCGGAGGAGAACTCTCCGCCTCTGTCCGAGTGCAGACGCAAAACAGGAAAGTCCGAGCCGAAGCTCCGCCTGAGCTGGAGATGAGCTGCGCGGATCCAGTCGATCAACACCTCAGTGACCTCACCCTTGCTGCGCAAGGGGAAGACTGTGGTGTAACGCGAGTAGTCGTCAACCACCAGCAGGAAGTAGCGCTCGTGACCCTGTCCACGGACGCGGGCTGGGCCCCACACGTCCATGTGAAGCGTCTGCATCGGGGCCTCCGTCGGAGGAAACGGGGAGGAGTGAGGGGTAGCCCGCAGGCGACCCTCGACACAGGGGACACAGGGAGGGCCAGGCCCCGGAGGAAGGGGAGGGAGGGACCGGGGAAGGCCAGAGACAAGAAGGCGAGAGGCCATGCCCCGGAGACGAGGCAGGGAGGGGTGACCCATCCTGTGGTGCCACAGGAGGGTCTCGTGGGACAGGAGGCGACACGAGCAGGGGGCAGACTCAGGACCAGACCTGGACGCTGCAGCAAACACCTGACCCGACGCAGCTACCTGACCAGACGCAGGAGGAGGAGACGGAACAGTGAGTGTGTACAGGCTCGACCCCGGCCCACGTG